CAGTGGAGATACAGTTAAAACAACAACAACAACAACAACGAGGATCTTAGGTGTAAGGAGGCAACAGCCTTAATGTATTGTGCAAATCCAGCCATGTATAGTGTGGATTCATGGTTTTGTATGATGAGTGAATCCAATCACGGAATAATCAATGTTTTTCACAAAACTACCTTTCTCAGGATTCTTTGGAAGAAGGTTTTGACCGTTGGAATCCAATGCAGCATGATTTATATTTGAGTGCAGATGTACCTAGTTAAACTGCTTCTGGTTTCTTTGCCTGAGAATACATAGAATTGTGTCAGTCAGAGAGTTCCTTCTTTGTTTCTAGCTGATGGGACAAAACACACACAACCAAATTTGATCTTCATTCTATACCACTCACTAGCATTGCACGCACAACGTTGGACCTGAATAGATTTACACGAGGTGAATGCCTATTTCAGGTTTCCATTTCTTTAAAAACAACAACAACAACAACAATTGTCACTTTTCTCTGACACTTACGTGATTCTGAACCACTTCAGGTACACCCTACTGGAAGATCATTAAGGATGGAAGTTAAATAAGCATTTAAGAAGGTTTAGAAAGAACTGGAAGCATTCAGATCAGCTTCTAGCGGGCTCTCCTTCCTTGCCCATTTAGGAGTTTAGGCGGGAGAGGATGAAAGAAAACAAGATGTATAACATTGGTATTTAACGCCTGAGAAACTATTAAGAATGTATAAAGGAATTTCTAATGTAGATTGGAAATGCAACTGCAAAGAAGGTACTTTTTATCATCAGGTTTGATGAATAAAGAACTTGAAAGAAAATTTGGAACTTTCTTATTCTATATGTTAACAGCGGCGAGAATCTTATATGTACAAAGATGGAAAGACACACTAATTTCCACAACGGAAGAGTGGAAGGTGATGGAATTAATGGAGATGGCAAAATGGACCGCTTTAATCAAAGAAAAGAATTTATCTGGTTCTTGGAAACTACTTCTGGACTTTTCGCTCAAAAATGAAAAATAAAATCAAAACTTTTAAAAGGCTTTGACAATTAGAATGAATTTGTTGTCATAGAAATGGCTTGAAATGTTGTGAACTGTAAAACAAAGGGTCGTGATTGTATTTTTTTTGTCGTATATGACTATTGTGAAAAAAGTTGGAAGTCACTATTTTTTTCTCCTTCTCTCTCTTTAGTTTTCTAACTTCTGTTTTATTTTATTTTTCTGTTTGTATTTTTTTTACCTTGTAATAAAACTAATTAAAATTAAGTAACAAACAAGAAGAAAATAAGATGTGTGAGAAAACAAAAAGTAATCTAACAACTTCATCCATCTGGCCTCTACCCTCACAGTCTTATTTGTTTCAGATACACCCAGATTATCAACAAAATGTGGCTCTTGGTTAAAATGTTCGCCCAGAAGATGCTACTTGGTGTAGATGAAATAGCACCAGGTTGTATCTCCTCTTAATCACTTGCATTTGATTCCCACTGAAATCTCTGGGGCTTAAACCACCCATCCTTAGACACATAAACCATAATTACACACCATTCAACGGAGACAATAAAACATTTAAAAAAGTGACCAAAATATAATAACATCCCCAACAGCAGCCTATACTCAGATAAGCAGGGATTACCACCAGACAAATGAACAGGCAGAAAACAATCGTCTAATCAAGGAACCACCATGGAGGACCCTTNATGAGGGAGGCATAAAATCAACAGGCATAACTTGAAATTGATATGCATGTCCAGGGATCCTATAGACCAGTGTTCCCCATGCCAGCTGGGGAACTCTGGGAGTTGAAATCCAAACCTCTTAAAGCTGCTAAGATTGAGAAACATTTCCCTAAACAATAAAATTGCCATTTTCAGTGAGAGAGAAAAAAGATTGATTGTGAACTTATTAAATATAAGCTCTTAATGCAAAGAAACAAGTTAGTGAGGACACCGAGAAGCGGAATCAATCTAGCTGTCAAGATCAAGGGGTATTTTGGATAGCTGCTTTATAGAAAAGGCTGATGTGCATAGATTTACAGTGACTGACCTGTGAGAGACTAACAAAAATAAAACAGTGGATTTATAAACCTTTGGCAACATGGTTTGGGAAGCACACTGTTTGGGATGATGTAATCTCAGCATCTCCTTTGGAAGCACCAGAATCTGTTATCGCCAGCGTATCAAATACTGCCTTTAAACTTGCCTTGAAAAATGTAAATGCTTTCTTTTTCTAAAAGCAGAAAGCAGTTCACAGAAGAAGAAAAAAAATGTTCTTTGGGAAAGTAATTGTTAAATAAACAGAGTCAAAGGTCTGATTCAGACATAATAAAACTGAGATTGGGGCATATAAACCCCATCTTTGTCCCTCCGTCTCCAGCTTTGTGGCTTACGACACCCATCTTTCCTTCTATAGTTTTATCCTAATCTTAGAATTACAGATTACTAGAACATCAAAACCAGAATATCAAACTGCCACCATATTCTGTTTGACAGACATAAATTATGACAGAAGCTTGTCTCTGCCTACTTCAAAGTAGTTGCCATATCTAATGGGATATACATCCAACTGCATAAAACTAGTTGTGCAAGCTAAACCAGTTTATTCTGGCTTAATAAACCACAACTGAAGTGCTCAGGGAAGGAAAGGGCAAGGGTAAAACACAAGGGCACAATGCTTGTTTGCAATTAAGTAAACAATGCTTTAGCGAACAAAGATTGTTTTGTCAAATCAGGCCCAAGCTTCACCCTGGGATTATAAATATTCTGCTTTTTAAATTTCATTTACTTTCATGTTTTTCTCTTTAAATCCTAGAAGATTTTATCTGGGCACCTGGTATGTGGCCTTAACACACCACATTTTTTTCTCTGGAGGCATTAATGCCACTACTCAGTGGTTATGTTTACATACCATGCTTAACTTGGTTAGTAAATTAACCCATGTGAGTGTGTTCTTAACAGAATAACAGAGTTGGAAGGGACCTTGGAGGTCCTGTAGTCCAACCCCCTGCTCAGGCAGGAAACCCTATACCATTTCAGACAAATTGTTGTCCAATCTCTTCTTCAAAACCTCCAGTGTTGGAGCATACACAACGTCTGGAGACAGGTTGTTCCACTGGTTAATTGTTCTCACTGTCAGGAAATTTCTCCTTAATTCTAGGTTGGTTTTCTCCTAGATTAGTTGCCATCCATTGCTTCTTGTCCTCCCTTCAGGTACTTTGGAGAATAGATTGACCCCCTCTTCTTTGTGGCAGCCCATCAAATATTGGAACATTTGCTATCATGTCACCCCTAGGCCTTCTCTTTGTTAGACTAGACATACCCAATTTCTGCAACTGTTCTTCCTATGTTTTAGCCTCCAGTTCCCTAATCATCTTTGTTGCTCTTCTCTATACTCTTTCTAGAGCCTTAACATCTTTTTTATATCGTGGTGACCAAAACTGGATGCAATGTACTTGATTTATTAAATGAAAAATTAACCTGGGTTTTCAACACATACTAAGCCACAAGAGAGACCTCAACATCCCAACCAAAAAAGCAAACCAAGTTTAAAACCAACCAAGCTTATCTTTCAGTGCAAATATACCTGTCTGACCTAAGCATTCTATGGCTAGAAGGTGGTCAGATGGTGGCCCACAGAGTTCTGTTGGGTCCTAGAAATGCTTTCAACACTTGGACTCTTAACTCTGTAATCAAAGTATTACATTTTTTACATGTGCCAGGAATGTCCTCAAGGTATGGTCAAAAAGGCAATATGATGGATGGGATGATGCAAAGAAAGCTCAGTTTACCAGCTTCGCTGAAGGGTGCAAAAGGTTTAAAGCAAGCAAACATAGCATTGCACTTCCAAATGCTCTTCTGGTTAGGATTTGATGAAGGTCCCTCCTAAATAACTAGAGGCCGTGTCCTAGTATTAGATTCCTGAACAGATAGAGACTTCCACTAGCTTTTTCATGGACATGAGATGGACAATGATGCTAAGTTCCTGCTCAACAAGACAGGTTCGGAAGGATCAGGAATGTAGGAGAACCTACATCTCTTATTGTTCAGTTATAATGCCTCAACAGGATTTAAGTTTCCTTTATTGCAACGGTTCTCAAATCATAAATCTGAGGATCTTTATTCATAGCACAGTGTAAGTATAGAAAGCCGTTGGTGTTCAGTCTGGCCTTTTTTTTTTTTGTGGTTGTTGTTGTTATTCTGTCTTGAGGCTGCAAAAAGACAAGATCAGAATTTTGCCTTAAATTCACAGTGGACAATTGCTGACACCCGGAATAGCCACCCATTTCCAGAAAGATGGATTATGTCCTTGGCCCCGACTTGTGACGGCCTGGAAGGTGAGCAGAACCTGCATTTTTACACAATCCTGCTCCCAAACAGTTTTTATACCTTAATTTCTTCTCTGTCACATTAACGTACAGGGGGCTCGTGCGAGCGCGCGCGCACACGCCCTCACGCATCTTGGGTCTATCTTCTGAAAAGCAGGCACAGTATTGTAAAAATAGCACAGCATTTCAACAGCGTGTACCAGTTGCACCCCGGAGAGGCCAAAGGGAAAGCAAATGGTTTTCCTGGATAAATGCTGCATATTTTAAGGCACGCCAAAAAGGGATGGGGGGGGGGAAATTTAATTTTTCCATTTCTAGACTTCGTCAAGCTCTCTTTCCTTGGAAATGCTGAACGGTTAAACCCTCTTTCCGTAGGAGTGATGGATCCTTTCTTTTCTTTCTTTACTCTATTTTCTTCTTCTCTTTTTCATATTTAAAATTTCCACTCTTAAGAGAAAAAAAAGGGGAGGGAGGTTTATGAGGATGGACATCTGGAAATATTTAAAAAAAATAAAACCTCAGCTCTCACGTTACGTTTTATATCCGTAGATACGAGTAGGTGCAGTGTATCGACGTATATAAAAGAAAGAGGATTTTCTTTCTCCTGATTTTTTCTTTTTTAAATATACGGGTAAGTATACTAGCACTATAAATATACTGCAGTTTTGCGTCCTTTACGCCCGTTCGTCCTTCTACACCGCTTCTTACTAAAGCAGAATTGGAAAACAACCTGAAATAATTCCAGAAAAGGGGAATAAAATAAATCAAAGAAGTCTGTCTTGTCATGCAATGCAGTAGGCATCCGATGGTACTAAATTCTTATCCAATCTATTTACAATATAGCTGGATACATTATTTTGACACGGGTTACAGTGTTTTGTCACAAGGGATCGTTCCCCCCCCCTTCCCGGTGGTTCTTCGCCCTCGTCGGACAATCCCTCATGTGGTCAGACGTGGGTTTCGATGAAGGAATGTGTGTGTGTGAGCAGAGAGGCCGTAATGGTGAGTTCAGAAGCTCCGTTCTGGGCTTTCAAAGCACCGCTGTACTCACAAATGTCCAGAAAAAACTCATAGTTCTTTGTTTTCCATTCTTTGAATTTCTTGGACGTCAAGTTAGGTTCGTGGAGCAAGTTGTTGATCAGGGCCAGATCTCCTTCCTTGGCCTGTTCAAAAAGAGAACATTTCAGATGCAAAAAAAAAAAAAAAAAATCAATACTAGGAACAACATACGCCAGAAATTATGTGGAATTAAATAGCAAGAGCACTTAGACTTATTTACCGCTTCACAGTGCTTTACAGCCCTCTCTAAGTGGTTTACAGAGTCATCCTCTTTGCCTCCAACAATCGGGGTCCTCGTTTTACCGACCTCGGAAGGGTGGAAGGCTGAGTCAACCTTGAGCCTGATCAGGATCGAGCTCCTGGCAGTGGGCAGAGTCAGCCTGCAATATTGCATTCTAACCACTGAGCCACCAAGGCTTCCTTCCTTCTCCTCATTTTCCTTCCTTCCTTCCTTCCTTCCTTCCTTCCTTCCTTCCTTCCTTCCTTCCTTCCTTCCTTCCTTCCCTTCCTCCTTCCTCCTTCCTCCTTCCTTCCTTCCTTCCTTCCTTCCCTCCCTTCCTCCTTCCTTCCTTCCTTCCTTCCTTCTTTCCTTCCCAAGCAATAGCACTTAGACTTATATACCGCTTCATACTCCTTTACAGCCCTCTCTAAGAGGTTTACAGAGTCAGCCTCTTTGCCCCAACAATCTGGGTCCTCATTTTACCGACCTTGGAAGGATGGAAGGCTAAGTCAACCTTGAGCTGGTCAGGATTGAACTGCCAAACTGCTGGCAGCTGGCAGTCAGCAGAAGTAGCCTGCAGTACTGCACTCTAACCACTGCTCCAACATGGCTCTTGGACAGCTTCATCTACCACCCTCAAGTCATCAGCACTAGGATTAGTCTGCTCCACAGCAGAATACTGTGTCCCTGTATGGCTCAAAGGCTGCCCTACTAGTAAATTAGACACCAATAAGTTATAATCCATGAGGATTATAAATGGATGTATTAAAACCACTCTGACTTGCTGGCTTCCTGTTCTGAGCCATATAGCACTCCCAGCCTTACAAAGGCAAGATGCACTAGTGAGAGTAAAGAGCAAAACAACAGCTCCTACCGGTGCATGACAACCGTCTTCATTTATCAGCCGGAAGGCTCAAATCTAAGAAGTCCCCACTGGCACTTTCACAACATCTGCCCAACAACTTTAACCTCGGTTCACAATGGAAAGCCAAACGGGTCCAGACATAGGAAGGCAGATAAATGGCCCCACGCAAAAAGTGTCATGCTTTGAACTACCAAGCCTGCCTTAGAAGATACAAGTCGTAGATCTTAGAAGGTACAAGTCGTAGATGCTCCTGTTTGACTTAAGGAGAACGTCAGAAGAGAAGAATTCATGGCTCTCTAGAACAGAGTTCCTCAACCTTTCCGGCTTTGTGGACCAACAGAGGGGGGAGGGGATGGTTCCACGTGAGCGGCGGGCAAACGTATGGTTCCACGTGAGCGGTGAGCTCCATTTGTGTGAGCAGTGGGTACCTGCACTCAGTGCTCACACAAGTGGGGATGCACGTGTGCTCGCCCAGCACTTCCATACCCCAGTTCCGAAGGGCTCAAGGCCCAGTAGTGGCCAGTAGTGGCCCAGTCAGGAGTTAGGGACCCCTGCTCCAGAAGATTGCTGTTGCCTCCTTCCTATGGCTGGGAAAGAGAGAGTAACAGGCCCAAGGTCACCTAACTGGCTTCCTGCCTGAGGCAGAACTAGAACTCACACTGTCCTGATTTCTAGCCTAGTATCTTGACTATTATACCAAACTGGCTCTCAGTTATGCAATTACATTGCTTCGTTTCACAAAGATTTCAGAAGTTTCTATGATTTTGTAGCCCTCTTCATATTTTCCTTCTTTACCATAGCAGAAAAAAGAATTCATTAAAAGAAGAAAAGACAAAATAGCTTAATAACTCCATTCTGTGACTAGCAGTAGTATTGGGAGCCTTCCAGCGAATGGCTTGAGGATACGCGATCTAATCAGTGCTTTGACGTGTGTGCGATTTATGGTTCATTATTATGCATTTAATTTTCAATTTCAGTTTTGACTTGATATTATCTCTGAAGGTAACCAACTGAGGCCAGGGCGAGAAAGACCCTCCCTTCAACTTTGAAAGAAAAGAGAAAGAAAAGAGACTGGGTGGGGAAAAAGTAGAAGAATGAGATTAAGTTGACAAATAATTCCACTCAAAATAAGGAGTTGAATCTAACATTTAGATCCATCTGGGGTGAAATCAACAGCATCTGGGGCGAAATGGGTGAGAGAAGCAAGCAGAAAGATGAAAGAATAACATTATGTTATTATGTGAAGGAAAAGAACAGGTAGAGCTGGAGGATGGGGTTAAATGAGTCATTAGCCTAGAGTCTTTACATTCCCACAAATAAGTCCAACCCCTCTTGCATTTTGTTGACTGTCATCATGCCCCAATTTAGTATTGTACGTTAGTTGACCAGATTCTTGTGTATAGGTTTCAGCAATAAATCTCCTGAACTGGAACTTGTGTGTGATCCTGATCCTTTATGCCTGATGTTACGCTCAAGTCTCACCCTTTTCTGTCTTAGTGTCACAGTGCTTCCCCCAGGCCATGATAGAAATGCTCTTTCACTATTTTAACGAAAGCAGCAAGATCTTGTGAACATGCATGGGTCACATTTTCCTTCCCCTGCTGTAAAGATTTAGAGATGGCCACTAGATGGAGGATTGGACTGTCTACATTCCTCTGATTCAGGAGTAAAACAAACCCTCTTAGTTGTTACCATAACAAGCTACAGCCCCTTTCACAGAATCTACTACAGGGATAACACATTCTTACTTTTAAAGTACTCTTCAGTACTCTGATGCGATGCAACTTTTCATTGATGACAGGGTCATTGCATCTCTTTACGAAGGACCTCCGGAATTCTTGCTTGGTGGAAGGACGTTGCTCTCCAAAGGCTGACAAACTGGCTTGCTCCAAAGTCTTGTAGAGTTCATGAAGGCCATCTGTGCTCTTCCTTCGTTCTTCTACTTTTTCTAAAGAGAAGCCAATCTGCTTTAGAAGCTACATATTTATAGTGAAGGGAGACAGAGCAAAATTAAAGATGTAATCCTTATTGTGCAAATAGATATTGTGTAAATAAGAGCCATGGTAGTGCAGTGGTTAGAATGCAGTATTGCAGGTTCTACCAACTGCCAGCAGTTCAATCCTGACCTTCCATCCTTTTGAAGTCAGTAAAATGAGAACCTAGATTGTTGGGGGGAGGCAATATGCTGACTCTGTAAACCACGTAGAGAGGGCTGTAAAGCACTGTGAAGCGGTATGTAAGTCTAAGTGCTATTACTATCTCTATTGTGGTCCCAATGAAATGTAAAAATAACACCTATTAAAGAGCCATCTTCCAACCTATCTGAACTCTGCAAATGAACTAAACCAAACAACCCCATTTCAGAGGTATAGCTGGCTCTTAATCCATTTCAAAATCCTATTTGAAGTCATTGACAGTGTCATGAAATATAAAATCTAGACTTAAAGTCCTATTGTCTACCAATCGTCCTCAAATTACTACCACAATTGGGATCAGAATTTTCATTTGCTAAGCAAGGGGGTTGTTGAGTGAATCCACCCTTTTCCTGCTCCAGTTGTTAAGTGAAGCACTGCAGTTGATAAGGGAATTATGCAGCTGTTCAGTAAATCTGACTTCCCCCATTGATTTTGCTTGTCAAAAGCTGGCTGGGAAAGTCACAAATGGCAATCATGAAAATCTCAAAACTCTACAACCATCATAAATACATACAAATTGCGAAGCATCAAATTCCGATCACGAGAGCATGGGGATGCTTGCGATGCTTCTATTGTAAGTGTAAGGACTAGTCATAAGTCACCTTTTCCAGTGTCATCATGGTTGTATGCTGTACGTTGAGGACTGCTTGTATTCAGAACTTTCCAGAATAGCTGGAAAGTTTTGACTCTTCAAATATTGCTGATTGGACAGCATGGACAACATGATAAATGGGTCTTGCAGTTCAGCAGTATGGCCATAGTCTCCCCACCTCTTTGCTAGGAAACGTTTAAGTAGTTTCTATCTAATCCAGTGGTTCTCAACCTTTTTAATGCCGCGACCCCCAACCGGTCGTAAGTCGAGGACTACCCAACCGGTAGTAAGTCGAGGACTTTCCCTGCCCAGGAGCGCCGCACATGCGTGGTTCCGCCCCCTGCGCTGGTCGAGGCGTAGCTGGCAAGCGGCAGAATTGGAGCAGGCCGACCACCAGCTGGCCCAGCCCAAGGGAGGTAAGGCACCCGCCGGAAAAGGGGAAAAAATGGCAGACAGCCTTGCTTGGCGACCCCCATGAAATGGTCGATCGACCCCAAATGGGGTTGCGACCCATAGGTTGAGAACCGCTGATCTAATGAGTGAAACTTGTTAAAGAGGGATCCAACTAGAAGTAAGGAGAAATTTTCTGACAGTGGGAACAATTAATCAGTGGAATAGCTTGCCTCCAGGAGTTGTGGGTGCTCCATCATTGGAGGTTTTCAAAAATAGACTGGACAATTATTTGACTGGGATAGTATAAGTCTTCTGCCTTGGTCAAGGAGTTGAATTAGAAGACCTTTGAGGTCCCTTCCAGCTCTACAGTTCTATGTTCTGTGTTCTATCTGTTCTATCAGATATTTTGTTGACTCAATTAGCAATGACCCTATTTTTTTTACCAATACTAGAAATTGTTTCATGCTGACTGCTGAGTTCACCTAATCCAGAAATATCTACTCTGACTGGGGTTAATGTTTCAAGATCTCATATAGAAACCTTCTGTAGTTCTTCTGCCTGTTAACGGAGATGGCATGTTTTGACATTTGGCACCTCTGCATGAGGAGCAGAAGCCTGGTCACTGAGCTTCACCACTTCCATCACTCACACGATCAGCCATTTTAACCTCTTACCATCTTCACACAAATTACTCGGCTTTTTAATAGCCAATTCCTCTTCCAACCGCTCTTCAGTGATCCCACTCGTTTTTACTCGCCCTTTGATTCGGACGTCTCGATTGCGTGGAAGGCTTTGACTTCTTTGCTTCTGGGGCCTAGAGTGAGAATTCTGACCTTTGTAGCACTCGACCAATGGGAAAGGACCATCCTGATCGTGGTTGTGGCGTCTCTGGACGGGTAAGGTGGCTTGTCGCCGCCTCTCCGGCGACACCCCAAATCTCTCATTCACATAGTCTGAGTCAGTAGGAACAGTCTGGAGAAAATGGAGTCCTGAACTGGTCAGTGGCGTCTCTATAAGATCCTGCCACGAACGCCGTTCTCTGTAGGGGGGTCTAGAACCTCCTGCAGAGTGTGTGTTCCCTGCTGGATCCTGACGGGATTCTTCTGCAGAAGAATGGGAATAGGTTGATTCACTGGAGAAGTGTCGGCCGTGTTTGGGCTCAGGGAATGGACTTGACGAATTCATCTAAAAAGAATTAAAACACCCCATTGTAAGATATAGTTATGGGAAGACGGAACCATGCAAGATAGACTCTTCAAGGTAAAACCTTTTCTTTCCCTCAATAGGCTGTTACTGCTTGTTGCAGAGTTGCTTCCATGTTGCTAACAGGATCTCTCAAGTGTCCTTCCTCAACCTCGTGGCCTCCAGATATCTTGAGACTACAATGCCCTGGATCTGAGTGACCCCCTGGCTGGGAATTCTGGAAACTGCAGTTCCAAAATGTCTGGAGAGAAGTAGATTTAGCAAAGCTGTTTTAAAGCTTCCCCTCCCCCCAAGTTATGTGAATGGCCATGAACTGAACTGAAGAAGCTTCTTGGATGAGCAGCGAAACGTTTTCAAACAAACAAAACCTAGGAAAGTCCAGTTAACGTTTGGGGGGGGGGAAAAAGCACCTTTGGGACATCCAGAAAGGGTTAAGGTTTTGAAAGGTTTGCATTTCACAACTTGCTCGACTTACGGAGGGAGTCCGGTGGTAGGAGTCACAAAGCACGATGGGTCCTTCTTGCTTCAGCATTAATGAGTTGTCAGTGTCTTCCTGGTCACTTTCACTCCAATAATCTGCTAAAAAGAGGTTTTCGTTTTGTACTAAAATGTATGGTTTGCTAGGCAAGATTTCCCAAAGGCTGCAGAGAAGTTGGATGTTTTCAGCCACCTCTTTTGAACAACTAATTCTCAGAACATTGCCTTGTGCCTAAGTATATTCACCCATGTAGTATGGCTGTATTACTATTATCCTTCTCATCTTTTCTACTACTTTCTCTTATTGGTATCATTATTATGATTATTATTCTATTGCTTTGCATGTATACTGAGAGCTTCTGCACCGGAAGCAAATTTGTTGTGTGTTTAATCACACTTGGTGAAATAAAGTATTGTATTATTCTATTCTATTCTATTCTATTCTATTCTATTCTATTCTATTCTACTCTACTCTACTCTACTCTACTCTACTCTACTCTACTCTATTCCTTTCTCTTCTCTTATTCTATTCTATTCTATTCTATTCTATTCTATTCTATTCTATTCTATTCTATTCTATTCTATTCTATTCTATTCTATTCCTTTCTCTTCTCTTATTGTATTCTACTCTACTCTACTCTACTCTACTCTACTCTACTCTACTCTACTCTACTCTACTCTATTCTATTCTATTCTTACCATCAAGGAAAGGAGTCTCACCTTCATCTGGCCGAATATCCTTGTCATCAGGTGTGTAACCAATGGCAGCCAGGCCTAGACGGTTCATCCATCTATTGAAAGATTGTTAAAAAAGAGAAACAGATTCCAATGGCTTTAAACACTTCTTATATTAAGCAGTGAGTGAAAAATTTTGGCTCTCTGAAGTTGCTGGCGACGATACTGGTTTTACATATTCATTCATTCATTCATTCATTCATTCATTCATTCATTCATTCATTCATTCAATTTCTTTGTTATTAAATTTCAACTAATTATTCAACTTTGATTATTCATTTTATTCAATTTCTAGGTCTGCTCCTAGTATCCTCCTTTTCCCCCCTCTTTAACAGGGTTGACTTAAATGTTGGGAAATTGCATTCAGCAGCAACATTTGAAGATCCGGCTGCAGACTGATAACCCTAAAGCACGAATGGGGGAAAGTAAAGTGAAATTGAAGACGCAGAAAAATGTGAAAGTTGGAGGCAAAGAAAATCTTTGTAAGGCGTTGGTTCTTTGAAAGAGAAGGGTGTAAGAGGAGTGTGTGTTTGTGATTGTCTCCATCCAGAGGTGAAACACCTGACGTGCATTTGTTTAGTTTTATTCCTTCCTTGAAAATTGCGATTTGACCATTACAGCTGACGCATTTTTGAAAAGCAAAGGTACTTGCAAAATATCCTCTAAGTATTTTTCTGTGATTTGATAATAAGATGACATGATTCTGCTAATCTCTCTCTCTCTCTCTCTCTCTCTCTCTCTCTCTCTCTCTCTCTCTCTCTCTC